CCCAAAGGCCACGTCAATAATTTTATTTGTGATTAATTTACAAACTTTATGCTTTGCTTTCCATATTTCGTGAAACACTTGACCAAAAAAAGATCTCTCCTCCTCAGCCGCAAGAGCAGTGGTCGCCAAACAGCAAACGAATAATATCTGCCGAAGAAAATATTTTATTGGAATTATTAAGAGTCTTTCGCGATTTGTTCGCTGCGCTCACCAATAACTGCAATTTCATTTCAAAGGCTGTCGCTGCAAGTCTGTCGATGGCTTCCCTATTTATACGCCTCAATATATACCCACTGATGATCTTAAGATTAAACTTTGAGCCTTGGTTGGATTGATTTCCATAGAAAATTATTTAATCTAAATGTCTTAGCGTTGATCTGAGTTCAATTTTCGGAATGGCACAGCAATAAACCCAGGCTCAGGTCCATTTCTGCGGTAATCAAACATTAAAATTGAATTTTTGCATAAACATGAAAGATATTTCTTGGGTTGGCCATTGGCTTTTGCCTCTTAGTATTGCTCTTACCAAATGGATTGCAGTATATGCGAGTACGAACATACGGGCATTTCCGCCGGATGCTCAATCAGGATGGCTTATTTCTGGGAGCGTGTGAGCTATGTATCATCCATTCAAACGGCTTATAATTTCAACTAATTAGTGTTACATTTTGTAAACGAAATTCCAAGTTCCGTGAAACATATTTTACTTCAGGCCTACAATTTCAATGTAAATATCTGCAAGGCATGGCATTCCTTTGCACTCACGTGCACACTGTGTGGGGGTGGTGGGGACGGGGAGGCTGTCCAAATGTATGCATCGGCTGTTGTGCAACGGATATTTTTAATGATTTCAATTAAGCTGAATGGTCATTCGAGTACGAGGCATTATAACAACATTAACAATAATAACAGCAACGACGTGACTTTTGCGCAAATTGTTAACGTCGGCTCTTCGTCTCACATTGTTGTCCGCTGTTCGCTGTCCGCTGTCCGCTGCTGTTGCACTAAATATTTTAATTAAAGAAATAATTACATTTAATGCATTTCGGTATAAAACACGTGAATCGGCCACACGGCTGCGCCAACCTTCTTTCCGCCTTCCACACCGCTTCGACCAGTCGTTGGTATTTTTTTTAAAACTTCATTAAGCGAATTTATTGCAAGCAGGCATTGGCATTGGGCAGTGGGGCAGGTGCAGGACTCGCAATGGAATGGCTATGGGACGACCGTCCAGAATCCAATTTAAATCCCACATTCTGAACAAAAAAAAAAAAAGCGAAAAAGCGAACAAAAATACAACAAATGAATGTGCGAGTATCACTTTTAGGTCATCAATGAAACGCGCACCTACGACATTTTTGCTCGTTTAATTATTTCAATTAAATCAACATACGAAAATAATACAAAAATAAATAAATAAATACATGCAGAAAGAAAAAAAAAATTAAAATAAGTGGGGAATATCGGCGAGAAGTTGGTGAAAAATATAAGAGAGAGGACACGACGCGAATGGCGGCGAGAGATGCGGTTGACACAAATGAAATTTCAATTTGCTCGCCTGTCGTGTTGCCTACTCCAGCGGGGGGGAGGGAAATCTCTGAAATGGCTCTTCAATTATTTTGGTATTATCCGATGGCCAGAGAGCTAGAGCGACAGCCATCGGGATTTAAAATTTAACACTAATTAATTAGAGCTGATCAATTTGGAGGTGTTTAGAGAGTCGATTGGACTGGATATCATTGATGAAAGTGAAACGATGGGCAGGTGATGGCAAAAATTATACATAATTGGTTTTTAGCAGATTGCAATTATGAATGCAACTTACCAGAATCTTCTGACCCACTTCTGCTGTTGCTAAGCCATAGAAATGTCTGCGAAAGTCAGCTATATTTAATTGATAGCTCAGTCTCAGTCTGCAAGTAAATCAAACATATTTGCAAGTCTTCCTGCCATGAAAGAATCTTGGCTTCCACGACAATTAATTCCTAACAACCTACTGCCAACGTAAATGAGCTGACAGCCCACCCCACGCCACTCTCCAACCGTTGCCACCTGCCATATCACATGAATATGTATTAAATAATTGACTGTGCCCTGAAAACAGAAGCAGCAGCAGTAGCAGCAGCAATCGTTCCTGTTGCTGTTGCTGGCCACAATTTTCTTTTACTTTGAGGTGGGAAATGGAAAATTTCCAAGATACATTTTTGCTATGTGATTCAACCTTGTAGATAGATGTATTTCTTTTTTCTCACTTGCTCCTTGTGGCTGTGCTTGTGCTTGTGCTTCTGCTGTGGGTTCCTGGCGCTGCTTCCATTTGCTGTGGCATATTTAATAACAGCGCATTAAGATGCGACACATTTGCAGTCAAGTCAACAAATTGCCGACAGCAATACGCGTACAGCGCTCACACTCAGAAAAAGCATGCTGCCATGCCACATGCCATACCACTTTCTGCAGCCAGCAGCCAGGAGCAGCCAACAGCCAACAGCAGGAGCAGAATCAGCCATCTCTGCCACACCGCACTCATCTGCTGGCAACACCCTAAAATGTTGACGACGTGCGCGCTTTAATCTTGTTTAAAAATGCGCAGCTGTAACAACAACAAGGAATGCGTGACTGTGTGAAGGTGAGGCAGGAGACCCACCACCCGACTGACTCCAACACACCAACACAGGCACACAGCACAGACACGCAGCAGCAAGACATTCGAAAATGCTTGAAATTACGACCAAAAAGCTGTCCTGGAATTGGAATATAAGAGGAAATTTATACAAGCTCCAAGAAAATAAGAAGAAAATTATTTATTTTATTTCGATTTTTAACTGGTTTATATTTAGATAGAAATACGAATATAAAATAAAAATAAAATAAATAAAAATATAAATATAAATAAAATAAATAAATAAAAAAAATAAAATACACATACTAATTATGCACATCAGCTCTAATAGCTGCTCGATTCATACAGCAACTCTGTCTGGAAAAGAGGCAGAGTGAGCAGCCCCTTTATGCCTGTATAAAGCGTTCCAATGTACTACAGCGCTGATCTCTCATTTATTTCTCTAGCAGCATTTGCGCTATAAATGTTACTACAGAAAACCGTTTTTTTCCGCGCGATGCAAACGATTTCAAGTATCCAACACACCCTACCACATGCGCCCAGTAGCAGGGTATTAAAACTGAAGAAATACCCAAGTGGAGAGAGTGTTGGCAAAGTGGGGGGCGGGTACGTATTTAGGCGGCCGTCGTGTCAAATCTGCGCTGTGAAGCATTCTAATGAGAAGTGCTCTGCTCTGCTCTGCTCTCCTTTCCTTCGGTTAGCAATGGCGTTGGCTGCTCCAGGTTAACTTGACTTGCCTTCGTTATAAGGACAGCAACAGCAACAACAACAACAGGAGCAGCAGCAGCAGCAGGAGCAGCAGGGTAGGGTCCTGCTATCACAGCCGCATAATCAAAGGGCGTTGGGCATGGCAGCAGCCACTTTGCTTTTGGCTGCCTTTTTATGCTCACCTTGTTGGTATTTCATATTTTTCCTTTCCCCTTTCCTTTTCCTTTTCTTTTCTTTTTGCGTTGTATTACGACGCTTTTTTTGCACTGTTTTTTTTTTATGTTGCGATATATAATTTCATATTTTTTAAGATAATTATGTCGATAAGTTGGAAAAAGGTAATGCATGCCGGTAAATAAACCAAGCAGAGGCAGCCGAGAGCCGAGCTGCCTGCCCCAAGGGTGAAAGTAAAAGCATAAAGAAAATGTAAAGGCAGCGAAGCTGGTTGGCAGTGGGGTGGAAAGCGTAGAAATATTAAAACTGAAATCTGAAAGAAAATAAGCTAAGGATACACCGCGTATATAGAAGAGAAAGTTGTACGGTTCTATAGGCACTAAGAGATATTGATTGGAATTATTTGAAGGTTTATTTTCATTGTTTTTATATGGGTTTTCTTAATTTACTTTAAGGCACAGCAAAATATCTACCAGATTTCTAGTTTATTTTCCTCTTTATCAGCTATCATCTTGCAAGCTTCTCAAAAAAAAAAAAAAAAAGAAGCCTTCCTTTTGTGGCCACCGGAAAGCTGTGCAAAATTGCATGATACTCTCTCTCTCTCTCTCGCTGGCTCCATCATATCAGTTTCAACAAAAATTTATATATTTCAATCCACCCACCACCCACCCATCCCTTTGCCAGCTGCAAAAGAAAATCGGATTTTCAATAGAATCCGCTCCACCATCTCGCTCTGTCTCTGTCTCTCCCCGTCTCTCTCTCTCTCTCTCTCTACCTATATAACGCTCCTGCTATCTTTCTCTCTCTTTTTTTGGTAGACAAAGCGAAATGTTTTCTGGGCCACAAAACCCCCCTCTTGAAACCGGCTCAGAGCGGCAGCAACAATAACAATCACAACCGTTGGGCCAACTTAAATCCTTGCCAAGATTGTTCAGCCAGTCGCTGCAATTTCATTAGAGCTCCCTTCTAGCCAGGACTACTAGCCCCAGTAAGCAAGCATCCCGGCCAGCCAGTTCTCAGTATCCTGGCATTGACTCTGCCTAAGGCCAGGAAGCAGGATGCCAAATTTGCTCTCTCTTGGAGTTTGCCAAATAATAAAATCAAAAAGAAAAAAAGAAAAACTCGAAGGAAAAAGCCACTGGAAGCAGTTCCGCCTTCCAGAGTCCCCCCAGTGGCAGTCAGTCAGAGAGAGAGAGTCAGTCAATCTTTCAGTTGAGGCATGGAAATGCTATTAAATTGATTTTAATTATCAATTGCATATCCCACTGGGGAGGGGGGATGATTAGACAGCATATAGCAATTAAAGTATGGGAATGACCCAGAACTATTGTCTGTGCCACATTTTCTTACTTTTATGGGATAATATCTGAGCAGCACTTTTAGCTGTACTTCACATTCTCTTTTAGTTATATTTTGATAGATATTTTATACGATTTAAAAATGCCAGAAATCTTAATTGATTTGCATATATATTTTTTCGTGCTTTCAGTGCTAAATAGAAGATGTGAGGAAACTACAGCTGCTTTTTCACAGGTAAATAAAATATTAAAGAATTAAATATTAAATATATATATAATATATATATATAATAGTATAATATTAATATTAATATATAATAATATATATAACATAATAAAATATAATAATAAATATAATTATATTAATTAGTACTAATTAAAACTATCAGCAATGAGAAAAGTTGATTCTTTATTTGCCAGTAATATTGCCACTCCTCTCTCTCTGTTGCTCTCTCTCTCTCTTTTATGGGATAATAACTGAGCAGCACTTTTAGCTGTACTTCGCATTCTCTTTTAGTTATATTTTGATAGATATATTTATACGATTTAAAAATGTCAGAAATCTTTATTGATTTGATTTTATATATTTCTTGCTTTCAGTGCTACACAGAAGATGTGAGGAAACTACAGCTGCTTTTTCCCAGGTAAATAAAATATTAAAGAATTAAATATTACAAATAATATATATATATAATATAATTATTATAAATTATAATATCATGTTAATATTAATATTATAATAATAAATATATATAATATTAAACATTCTATTAAAATTATATTAATTAGTACTAATTAAAGCTATTAGCAATGAGAAAAGTTGAATCTCTATATGCCAGTAATATGTCCACTCTTTCTCTTGCTCTCTGTCTTGCTCTCTCTCCCCTAGTCACTAAACTTTTCTCAACTAATAATGACATGCTACCCTCTGCCCCTTACATGCAAACATACATAATTCTGTGTGTTGTTGTTGCCAAATGTGCAGCATTCATTTCATTAGGCACAAAATCTCAATTTCAGTTATCTATGCTCTATGGCCCTGCCCCCTCCTATATATTTAGTGGCAGCATAACAGTGTTACGCCCCACTGTTCGCGATACAATCAATAGCTTCAATTATGCGTGCATGGAATATGGCAATTTAAAATGCGACGCCGCACAGTTGACACTGGCCACATGGCCGCAGTGCAAAATGCAAAATGCACTCGGCTGGGAATGGAAACCTCAGCAACATTTAGCAGCGATGCATAAATCATGGCCATACTTAAAAGAGAAAACAAATACAAACACACACACACACACACACAGAGTTGTTGCTGTTGTTGCTTTGATTTTGTTTGCAACCTTTAATTAGAAATATTGCCACACACTAAATGAGTCGAAAAGTGCGTCCATTGGAAGGGTGGGAAGGGGAGTGGGGGTAGTGGAATAACAAATTAAATATTGAAAAACGGAATAATAATTATGAGAAAAACAACCAACCAGCGAGTCGAGTGTTGCTGTGGAAAGTTAATCCCGTGCAAAATGCAACACAAACCGCAGTCCGTCGAGCATTTATTTATGCATTTATGCGCAAAATTAACTAATTTAAGTGACATGAAATATTTTGGTTACCATTCATACGGTTTTGGTTTGCCATTGACGAGAGAACAAACAAACAGAAGGAAGGCCTTTTCGAGAGTCGGGATGGCTACGGCTGCGGCTGGGACTGGGGCTGGGGCTGGGGCTCTGGTTGCATCGAATTAGCCGCCAAATTGACTTATAATTGAGTTCATTAGCTGAAATGAATGGCAAAGCGCTGAGAGATGAGTTGGGATTACAGACAAAAATAATCCAATTACCTTTTAGTTTTGATACGAAAAAGAGCGCTCCACACTCCACACTCCCTCTCTCTCTGAAAAGTGTGTAACTGATTTAAAACTACTTTCTAGTACTTGCTGCTGCCACTGCTTCACGCAAATTAAGATGGAATTCCTACCAGCTCCCAAAGGAATCGCATCCACCCATTCCCATGCCCATGCCCATGCCCATGCCCGTTCCCGTACCTCTTGAGTCTCTTGAGTCCAGGCAGTAAATCAAATACAAAATACTGGCACGTGCCGAAGGTCCACGCGATAACTAGTCACCAAGCAATGGACTTGGCTGGTGGAGAGACGGGAAGAGTCTAGCGACTTTGAAAAGTGCAAAAAGGTTGAGAGAACTTATGACAAAGCAGTTTGCAAATCCAATTGATAAATTTTTAAACTTAAATATTGTGTGGGTACCCCCCAGAGTGGGTCCTGCTCACCCGCTCACCCATCGCTGCTGCTGCTTGTGGGTCAGCATCGATTATGGCTACGTGTATTTTAGGCCATAAATCACAGGGCCAAGGCGAAGATTTTGTGCCCTCCCCGACACCGACTTCGGACTCTCCATTGCCGAGTCCGCTGTTGGGCTGTTGGGCTGTTGGCTGTTGTCTGCTGCCACTCTAATCGCATTAAAACCTAAACGGCAAAATCTTTACTACGTGTTCTTGTTAACTTTTACTAGGCAGTGCCTCAGCCTCAGCTTCAGTGTCAGCGTCAGCGTTAGCCACTGGGTTCTGGCCATAAGGCAACTGCTTTAACGGAACTGCTGCTGAATCGAGGGATGGGCTGCTGGGTGGGGGCTGGTTCATGGGATCATGAACTTGGGCTTGGGCTTGTCTTGGCGGGTGAATGGTTACCGGGGTGCTGACTGCCGGTTAAGCTATAAATATTTGAGGCATTGTGTAGATTTGCTTTTACTTTGGGTCGTCTGTGATGATTATAGGGTATTTTATGAGCTGCACTATTTCACTTGGAGTGCCCTTTTTTTTAACTATGAGAAAAGGGAAACATAAATTATAAATTAAACTAAATTTAAAGTAAAAAATAAAGTAAGATTTAATTTCAATTTATTGAGACCATAGTTCAGAAAATGTTGGAAGAAAAATTCCCAAAATAAAAGAAAATAAATTAAACGAAATTTAAAGTAAAAAGTAAGATTTAATTTCAATTTATTGGGACTTCACACAATGGTGGAAGAAAAATTCCCAAAATAAAATAAAATAAATTAAAAAATTAAAATTTAAATTTAAAAGTAAGATTTAATTTCAATTTATTGAGACAATACTTCACACGATGATGCAGGAAAATTCCCAAAATAATGACCGCATTTATTAATTGATATTTTAATATAATACAGCTAAAGACTAGTCCATTCTCTGCGCAATTTAATTAATTTTAAAATTAATATTTGAAGTAAACAAAATAAACTTAGAAAAGTGCCAAAATTGAAGGCGCAAATTGAATTTAAATTTGTTGCTCCTACTTCTTTTATTTTGTCGCCTTTGTCACAGTTTTGTCAGACAGGGACAGTTGATGAGGTGCTGGGCGTGGCGGGGGATGCCAAATGGATTTCCCATTTTATTGCTGGACATTTTTCACTGCTTGTTGGTTGGGGTGTCGTTTTTTTGTTTGTTGCCTAACTCTCTTTTCATCTTTATTTTTATTTTTTGTTTTGTGCGGAGTGCGAGGGGGTGTGGGGGTGTGCTGGTGCCTGGCCTGCCTTGTGGGTTAAGAACTTTGAACTTGTGCTGTAACTTTTACATCGCTGGGGCTCTGGATGTGACAACGTTTGATTGCTCATGAAATCGATCGATTGTGGAAACGTGTTGATTGTATTGTTGTGTGCCCCACTGCCACTGCCACACGCAGCCACCGAGAGCGGTGCTCTGCTCTGCTCTGCAGCCACAAGACCCGTCGAACCCAGGGGTCAAAAGTTTTCAATTCTCTCGTAAAAGTTGTTCGTTTTACTTTTGGTGTATGTGTGGCAGCAGCAGCAGCAGCATATAAAATGAAGTGTCCTCGTCCTCGTTACTTTTTCTGGCTTCTGGCTTCTTCTGGCTGGAAATCATTTAAATACATTTCCCTCGCTGCCCGCAACGCATTAAAATTGCATGCCAAAAAGGTCACAAAAGTCACAAAGACACACCCCCCCCCAGAGCTACGAGTTGAAGTTATCTGCAGGGGGGGAAATGGATAGGATAGGATAGGATAGATGGGACACCAACACTTTCCCTGATGATTAATCTATCGATACTTATGAGCGGTGGGGCAGTTGGTTGGTTGACTTTGCGATTGGAAATCATATTGATACGCGTACACTCTCTATCTCCCTCTCTCTGTCTGTGGTGTCCAGGGACATGATGGATGTACAAGGCCTACTACCCAACCCACTAATTAAACTGAAACCCGAGCGTCTGTCCTCCAGTAGGGGCAGGAGCCATTGTCACATGTTGCTGCTGCTGCCGCTGCTGCTGCTGCTGCTTTGATTGAACTGATTGATCGCTTGTTGATTGTTTGCTTGGCCAAGGGATTTCTAATACTATATGGCTGGAGTGGGTATTCAGGATTTGTTTCCCATCGCTCATTGGCTGATGTCCAATTATCATTTTGGCGATGAAATCTTTTGTGTGTTGCCCACAAAAAGTGAATGCGTGTCCTGTCCCTTTTTGATTTTATGATATTTTACGCTTGTAATTTGTCATATCTATGGAAACTCCACGATCTGCTCTGCTCTCTCTCTCTCTCTTTCGATATTCTTTTCATTTGAAAAATGCTGCAATAAAGTTTTATTGTAAATTGCCTGAGAGAGAGAGACTGCAAGCGAAAGAGGAGGCCGAAATCATTTTCACAATTGTCGTTGTAATATGCAAATAATTTTGGCTTAAAAATGTTATTGTGATTGTGTGATTGCACATATTTTAATTTGCATAAACATGAGCAATGATTGGGCGGACACTCCGCTTCGCTTTTCCGATTGGTATCTGGTATCTGGTAACTGGTAACTGGAATCTGGTGTATCGGGTATCTTTGCCTTCAATTCTCGATGCTGCGTGACACGCAAGTCCGACACGTAAAATAATAAGCGGAAATGTTGAAAAATTCAAAGCAGCTTACCTTCCGGTGTGCCTGCCTGCCTGCCTCTCTCTCTCTCTCCCTTGGCTCTCCCTGGCCACCCCTCCATTATCGCATTGATGTTAGCTTCCAAAAAAAGTCAAGATTTGTGCGCATTAATGGCAACGATTGAATTTTCAATATCTCAGGCACGTGACTGTCGCGGCCGCATCGATTTCATTGAAACCTGACGTGCTCAACATGTTTAATTGCATCAGGGGGAACGGAAATGATGATGCCACTAAGAAAATGGGGCGGGGAATGTGCGGGTAATGGCAGTATTTAAAGCGCATAAAAGTCCGCGGTAGATACGTTTTTTCTGGATATATATACGAGTCTGTGTATACGAGGGATATGTGTAGTCACCAATCTGTTGGCCATAAATTCACACTGCAATAACACAGACAGAGACAGAGGGAGAGGGAGAGAGAGAAAGCGCGCTCGTTGAGATCCGTTCAAAAATGATAAAAAAAAAGGAAAGGAAGGAAGGAAGTGCTGAAAATGGTAAATGATGTACGACTTTCGAGATACTCTGAGGTAACAAAGTGCAGATTGTAGATTGGTGGATATATTTCATACGGCAAGTCATACATATGTTAAGGATTGTTTTGGTTATACTTAAAGGAAATTAATAATGCCTCGATACTGGGCAGCTGGAAAATACGAATATGAATATTCCTTGAGCTT